CTAGGTGAGGTAAGTAAGGTAGGTAAGGTAAGTAAGGTAGGTAAGGTAGGTAAGGTAGGTAAGGTAGGAAAGGTAGGCAAGGTAGGTAAGCAAGTATGCAAGTACGCAAGTAAGCAAGTAAGCAAGTAAGCAAGTAAGCAAGTAAGCAAGTAAGTAAGTAAGTAGGTAAGTAGGTAAGTAGGCAAGTAAGTAAGAAAGTAAGTAAGTGAGAAAGTAAGGAGGGAAGTGAGTAAGTGAGAAAGTGAGAAAGTGAGTAAGTGAGTAAAAATTAAGTGAGTAAGTAAGTGAGTGAGTGAGTGAGTGAGTGAGTAGGTGAGTGGGTGAGTGAATCAATGAATGAGTGATAGAGTGAGCGAGCGAGTGAGTGGGTAAGTAAATAAGTGAGTAAGTGAGTAAGTGCGTACGTGAGTACGGGAGTAAGAAAGTAAGTCAGTAAGTAAGTAAGTAGGTAGGTAAGTAAGTAAGTAAGAAAGAAAGTAAGTAAGAAAGTAAGTAAGTAAATAAGTAAGTAAGTCTGTCAGTCAGTAAGTAAGCACGTACGTGGGTACGTACGCAAGCAAGTAAGTCACTCAGTCAGTCAGTAAGTAGGTAGGTAGGTAAGTATGAAAGAAGTATGTACGTGCGTACGTACGTAATTAAGTAAGTCGGTCAATCAGTAAGGAAGTAGGTAGGTAGGTAGGTAAGTAAGTAAGTAAGAAAGTAAGCAAGTAAGTAAGTCAGTCAGTAAGTAAGTCAGTCAGTCAGTCAGTCAGTAAGTAAGTAAGTAAGCCTACTGTATGGCATTGTATTGTGAACTCTTTGCGCCTACCTACCTGGAAGACAGCAGCTGTATAATGCTTCTAACTGTTGCTTCATTCACCTAATGAGCCCTTGATTTATCGCTTTACAAGGAACACATCGTGTCCTGGTCGTGTGCCTCGTGTCTGTGCTGTATATAACCACCCTCCACACGGCATTTTTCTTGGCATCTTGTGTTCGCTGGCGATCCTCGTATGAGAGCTCCTCATCATCTCGTTGAAAACACGTAGGGTCCAACTTGAGCCGATGGTGCAACCTACGCGGCATGCACGGCCCCACAGCTGGTGGAAAGAAGCTGTGACAGCCCTCAACAAAGCCCCATGCATTCTTCAGACTTTCAACCAACTGCTACTGTTTTCTCGCAGCAGTATATATCAAATTATATAAATATATAACTCTTCCCGACGGCCTGAACAAATCCACTCCTCGCCCTTCGCCTCTCACACGCGTGTCTAATGCTATTTCGCCATGCCGTCAAGTCTCATATCATGTGACATCACGCTGCAGCCAAAGAAAGCAAGGCCTGGACACACATTGCCTGAGTTCACTCTGATCTGCAAGTGCAAGGTGCTGTATTGTGGTCGAACCTGGCAAATCAGACTGCGTGCCCTTGCCCCAACACTTCTGCGCAAGCCCCTTGCAATCATTCACAAATCTCAGAAACTGGCTGGATAGTGAAAACCAGCTGAAACATGGGCACTTGGAAGGGACTCACCGAACCTGCCGTCGCTCAACTCATTCATAGGCATGGTTCCGCCACGTGTTCAATTCACAAGGTCGCATCCAGTAAGCCAGCCACATGCGTTCCAAGTACTTTCTGATCCCAGCAGTGAGGGCATCGAGCAACCTGCGGGGGCGTGCTGCAACAAAAGCGCTCTTGGCCAAGGACACGCAAATTTTGATGACAAAAGGACCGCTCTTGCAGCACTGTGTGTGCACGTCAATCTGAGAACGAAAAATACTTGCAGACCAGCGCAGCATGATTTTGGGAGACTCCGCGTCTGAAATTTCTACACCTGCTATTTCTGCAGCCTAAGAGCCAAAACAACAGGTTGACGATTTTCATTTGCTTGCGATTTCTTGCGCTTTACGTTGCCTCGCAGTCGCGTCGGATTTCTGATGGAGCAATATACATGAGCTGCCGCCTAAGGTCTTCTTGATATCTACTGACATGGTCTTTGTAGGTATCAGGGGGTCCATTTCCCGATGTACCATGTCGTGCCCCTATGTTTCGACCACTGATGTTTTCTGTTGCGGCTCTTTTCACTAACCCCGGCAACAGGCACGACCCCTTGTGATGCTTTTTGGTTGTTGGCAAGGTGAACTTCAGACGTCTATGATTGGATCGACCTGGGCTGCCCTTTGTGGAGGCACCTGCAACCTTTGTTTGTTGGCAGGCTGTTGCTTTCCTCCTTGTTTTCACTAACCCCATTGCTCTGTAAGTTACCTCCCTCCTGGGCGGGCGCCCTGCGAATTCCTATAGGGACGACCGTGCTCAAAAAAGTCACCACAATCATGGGAGCGTCTACAGTGTACAGCGCTAATTATTTCTGTGAACTTGCAAAGGGCAAGCCAACATGCGCAAGATCAATGCCCAGCAATCTCAGGACGCAATACAAAGCAAACATAAAATTATTGAAAAGATTGTCTCGGGGCAAGCTGAGCTAAGCAAAAAGAAGAAAAAAAAAGAGCAGAAGGAAAACGAAGGGTCGAGGCATAAGGCATTCTAAGGTCTTGAGGAAATTGGCCTGTGATTCCAATTTTTGGTTGGCTGGTTGATACTTCAGGCTGGGTTGCTCTTGTTGTTCAATTTTGAGCTGCTGAGCAACTGCTTGCTTTCTTGCTTGCTTGCTTGCTTGCTTGCTTGCTGCCTGGCTTCCTCAGTGGACTGGACAAGAATGTAAATTAATGTTTGCATTTTCCAAACTTGGCTGATATGATGACGCCAAAACTCCGGACTGGTTACTTGATTGCCCGGTCAGCCAACGGGCTGGCCATAATTTGCGAACCCTTTCCTCGCACCTTCTTCTTGACAAGAATAGCGCTGGGTGCGCGTACATCTACAGTATCTATCCCATTCCTCTCGAAATACAGTACGTAAGTTGCCTTGCACTATTTAAAGGCGTCCTCAGTTTGATTGCGTGAAACGCTTCTGGGAAGGAATGACAAAGAAGGACAAGCAACTTCGAGCCCGGCAAGCATACAGCGGCCTGACGTGAGCCACGCCACACAAGTCCCGGTAGGTATGCAAATACCCAGGCTGCCTCCACAGTGAGCCACGAGTGAAAGCAGTCAACGGGAATACATAAGGATCTAGATACAGTGTCCAACTGTGCCCCTGGCTTCTGAACTTGGGAATATCCAAAATCGCCAGGTGCACCGACCTGATCATGCCCACAGAAGCCCTAGTGTGGTGGAACAGAATCCCATCCTACGCCCTGGTACTCTTCATCATGCTGTGGAGCGCCGAGACTGATAATTGACTGAGAGGCAAGCTCCGGACTCCAAGTCGCCTCGCCAGAAACTTTGCAAACATTCAACAACATGTCCCTTAATCGCTTCGCACCATACTGATTCAACCCACCCCGAATTCGATGATGGCTCCGTTGAGGCAACAGAGCGGAAGTAGCAAAAGACAAAACAGCCGCCTCGTTCTCATTATGGGCAACTTGCTTTTGCGCAAGGAACCCAGCGTCCAGGCACTACTGTAAATTCGGAAGCAACACCCACGCTACGTCATCCGAAGACTGGCTGTTGGTGCGCTTCTTCAAAGACTGTTTTTTTCCACGCGAGTAGAACAATGTGAACAAAGCACCAGACCCAGGCCCCCAAATCAGGATGCATATGTGCATGCATTTACAAGTGCCATGTGCGAATACACATGATATTAGGTTTTTAATTGTTTTTACACATATTTGGATTTACGTCACGTATGCAAGGGGGCCCACATGCTTTCACTGGTCGATTTTGACAAGATACAGCTATGCACGTGTTTACAAATATACATCCTTCATGCGCCATGTGCCGCCGCAGCTAAACAGACCTGTGGCCGAGCCTCGTCTACGCGGCTAAATTTCTACAAGTGTGTCTGTCATCCCGGAGCATTCCAAAGCAGTGCCCAGGTTCTCTGAAAACCAATCAACTTGAGGGGCCTGTCTATGCAGCAAGAAACTGGAAGCGAGGCAGTTTCTTCAATGATTCTCTATTTTAAATGAGCTATATTCAAAACGTTGCTAATGATGATTAAACATGTTTAGACGTATTGTACAAGGGGGTTGTACGTGCGTACGAACGTGCGAAAAGTGGGCGTGTGAGCGGATGCAAGGGCGAACGGGCAAAAGATGAGAGGCGTGCGGGCAAAAAATGTGTGGGGCCCAGGCGTATGGGCAAAAGATGTGGGGCGTACGTGAGGCGTAAGTGATGAGTGCTTGACGAGTGATGAGACAGACCTGCACTGGCGCTTTGGGTTGCACATGTTTACATATCACTCCTACCTCAATGCCCCCCGAAATAATGCACGATAATTAGTTCAAAGGGGTTTGACGTAAGTTGGGTTTCACAACGTTAGATGGGACTACCTGGAAATAAGTTCCCATCCTACCTCCCCCCTTAAAATGTATTTCACCAATAGTTGTTGATTATTTTGACGTGATTCTTTTGAATGGGTTGCCGCATGCCGAACTTCAATCCAAGGTGCCCGACAACTCCCCTCCATCCCCCCTTCCCACCTTCCACCCCAACCCAATCTTCAAAAAAATGTTTCGGGGTGCCTGAAGAGTATGCCCCGTCAATATACCTCAGAAATTTCAGAATAATAAAAAATGGTTCTGGATTGTTCTGGCATACCTTAAGTTGAAATTTAAAGAATTATATACTTCCGGACCTCAATGAGATATATGGGATTTTAGAATAATATCTAAGAATCTAACAAAAGGATATCCCTATCGAAAAAATCTAGCGACAAAAGGGGATGCATAGCACTGCGTAGCCTACCGAAACTGACTTGAAGAAAATCACAAAGTACATCATCAGGGAATCCTGCACAATGTTGGTTTTGCAAGAGTGGATTTTTTTTATGTTGCTTCATGTTGTTTCTTAGGATCGACGCGTTGGGAATCCTAAAGCACAAATACATAAGTTCAAACATCACGTTTCATGTCCGCTCTCTGCTAGTCATGGTAGAACCCCCCTCACTTTCAGTTGCACCAAGAACGCATCAAAACTTGCAACACGCAACCAAAAACGTTCTTTAAGACATTATTCTACGGATATTGGAGATGCCCTGCGCTCCTCAAAAACCAAAGTGGGCAGCTGCCAGAACCACCCAGCTTGCTCAGAAGCTGGGAAAAAGTCAAAAACCTATAAAAACCGAACGCTTCCCATCGAGAGTTCCCTGGAAGGAAATGAAAGGAATATGGAAGAAATAGGGGGAATATGAAAAGTTGGGAAAACCAGTAGGAACTGGCCAGGTAGCTGCCAGCCCGGTTTGAACGATTGCCGCAGTCACAGTTGCCTTCGCTTCGAAAGGCATGGCATGCCATTTCCTATCTGCAAGGTAACGCTTCGAGACCTCTTTTCAACCTGCTTGTAGGTCATATGTATCATGCTGAGTTTTGGGCCACCATGTCTTCCATTCGGACCATGCGCCAAGTTCGTGCCCCTTGGCGAAGGATGCCACGACCTGGAGGCTGGCAGAGTTTCATTTGCGCACGCATGCGAGAGCTGAACTGGGAATTTCGCGGTCCATGGATGTTTGCACATGAGGATTTGGGTCATGTCGATTTATCCAATCCAGATGAAGCTGTTGTGAAACTCACCGAGCACAAGGTGAGAGAAAGTTGGCGCCGAGTGCAATTTGCCCTTTGGAAAAAGCAGAACCGCCGTGATAGGCATTATTTGCTTGATGTGCCGTATGAGGAAAGTCGTGTTTCCGATGCCCGCAAGTTGTTCTCTCTCACGTGTGATAGTCATCAGAGGGCCGTTATGCTTGGTTCTGCGCATTCCACGGCATGTTATGATAAGATGCGTGGACACGAAGTGAGGGAACAATGTCCCTTTTGCGGTGAGCAAATCCCACCTGTCTGGGAACATCTCTCCTGGCATTGCTCCGCCGAACAGTTGTCTTCCGGCCGCCCTGAGGTCCCTGAAGATGAATTGCAAAATCGTCTTGCTTGGCCCACACGTGGGTGTGATGCCTATGATAGAGCGGTTCTTCACCACATGGCCCGGGTCAGGGCCACTGTGCGTGAAAACATGAATTGATCATGTCCCGTTGGCTGCGGTGTCCGGTACCTTCGGGTATTTGAGGCATCCAGTCGTTCAACCCATAATAATAGCTGCCAGCCCGGAAGCTGGAAAAACGTCACAAAAAACCTACGAAAGCGTTTGCCCTTTCTCACTCATTCCCGCCAAGGCGACTGAGAGTTCTTGAGAAGGAAATGAAGGGAATATGAAAGACATTGAAAGACATGCATTCCTCAAAAAAGTTGCAAAAACCATCAAAAACCCAGCACTGTTGATCTCCGCAAGCCGAGCTCGTTGGAGGGAGACGGAGGGAACATGGGAGAATAAATAGGAGACGTATGAAAATTTGGGACTTATGTAGGAAATGGCAAGTGATGAAGATGATGGTTGAACACCATTTTTCGGGAATTCCCAAGGGGAGAAGGTATTATAGGGCTTTTTCGACCACTTGAAGTTTATATGAAATTTGTCTTCCAGGGTATGTTGAGGGAGGGGTTAGATCATGATTCGCATATTCCAACATATACATCCGTAGACCCACCCCTTGCGAAAATTATTCAACAAAAACTATTTTAAACACAATGTTCCAGAACCTGGTTGATACTCTCGAATAGTTTTGTAAGGGATGGAATATCCAGAAAAAATGTTTCGAAAAAATTATTCCATCACGCTGAATATATTATTTTAGCGGGGCCTGACCCCACTAAAATACTTCCCATTGAACATTATGGCACCTGGCACAGGTTTGATTGATATTATCTTAACCCCCTCTTGGAAATGGCAAAAATCCAAGATTATTTTGAACAATTATCTTGGTATGTGACCCCCGCCCCAAAATAATTTACTAAGGCAGCAATGATGTTACATGTAAGATCGTCCGCATGCGTGTATGCACACATGACCGCATGTACACACGTACGCACCCACGTACGCTTGTGCAAGGTTCCGGTTATTCAATGAGGTCAATACTAAGTTTACAAAATATGTATCGGGGTTTTCGGTCGTACAAAAATAAGCTATATAGAATTTAATGCCTTATGAGGCACTAAATGCTAGTTGATTTTTTGTGCGACCGAAAGTCATGCGTACGTACGACCGAGCGTACATGTGAACGTGCATGCGTACGACCGAAAATGCATGTGAAAACACATATTAAGACCGGACGAACATGTGAACATGCGTAGGTACGACCAAACGGGTTACATGCGTACGACCAAAGACATAAAAAACACATGTTTTATATTGAATACTTGAATATTTTCTGTTCGGAAAGGCTTGTTGTGAGCGGCGAATTTCAAGTTTTTGGGGTAGACATTCAGTGAAGAAACCCACGCTCACAACAGTTCGTTCTGAATGTAGGCTATCCACGCTCACAACAGTTTGTTCTGAATGTAAGCTATCCTATAGCATGTCTCTTCACAAAAACATGTGTCTGGCACCTCAACGCTCTGGTCTGTCTCACTTGCACCAAAAAGCCTTGTTAATCCAAAGCAGAAAACAAAACAACCAAAAAACAAAAAACATGTTTCCACAACTACTCTGACCCCTGGACTAGTTGCCAATTTTTTGTTTTTTGTTTCAGTTTTTGTTTTTTTTTGTTTTCTCGAAGTTTTGGTTTGATCCTGATTAATCTTGATTATTCCAATTCATAACGTCCTAATTACATCATGACTCCTGCTAGTTCCGGTTGTATTGTCCCCAAAATGGGATAAATCAGATGCTCAGAGACTTGGGCATGGGTTCAGGGCAATTTGGTACTTCATTTATTTTCATTTATTTTTCTAAAGAACGCGGCGTTTTTCAAAACAAATGCGGGAAAAAATGAAACAAAATAAAGCTGACGAAGAGCAGTTAGGACATGAGTTCGGCATTTTTACATACAATCCCCCAATATATCTGTGATCCCAAGAATGCAGTAATAGTTGAAAAAGGCCTTCCATACGTATGCAATTCCCAAAAAAAAATATGGAACCTTCTTCCAACTAACAGGTTCCAACACCATTTCAAAATAAGATCAATCGATTTGTATATACGATTATTGTTTTTTGGCGACCATGGCATTTTTTGAAGTGAATGTCTATAATTATTTGATATATTTCCTTGCAAGAAAGTGCACCATCTGTTTGAAAAGGGCGCAAAATTCCCTCAGACATGAAAACATCATTTCAAATTTCAAGTCGGATTTTTTTACGTGTATTTATATATATATAATTTTGTATGTATATATATATATATATAATGGTCCGTGAAAAAATATGCACGGAAAGTC